AGACCCCGGCTCTTGGTGGGCAGCCTTCTGCCTCGACCGGTTGGGGTGAGTGGATAGAGGAGAAACAAAAGAAGAAAAGCAACATGACACAACAATCAAACACTGATCAGGTCGATGTGGCTGGTGACTGCTCGTCAGAGACATAGAGCTCCAGGGCCAGGGCAACCTGCAGAAAGGTACAGGGAGAGAGAGAGGACACACTACGGGAGAGAGGAGACACACAGTTAGTAATGTGTAATGGTGGCATATAGAAGCATAGGGAGAGAGAGGAGAGGAGCGGAGAGGATAGGGGAGAGAAACTCAGATCTACAGGAGAGAAGCCAGTCTGTTGAGTAATTCATACTCAGAAAGCAGAACTAAAGTGACATTCATTCAAGACTGAAGTGTTTATTGTCATTTACAGTATGGAAACATGTTTCCCTGCACTATGAAATTCTTACTTTGCCATCACACCCTGAATGCCAAACAACACAAGTGGATAAACAGTAGCACAAAATCTAAACAGCGAGTGAAAAGATGATTAGTTAAAACATTTCAAAATGCACCTGCATTGCTTTGCATTTTCTGACTTTCAGTTGAATAAGAGACCATTTTCCAGTCATATATTTCATCAATGAAGAGTTCTTAAAATATCGTCTCCTCTCGTTCTCCTGAACCCAATATTGTGTATCATCTCATCTCATGAGCTAAGTGCATTGTTACACCCCTATGAAAATCATATACAATGTCGCTGAAAGTGGATTTTTTGAGAGTGAGCAAGAGAAAGAGAGAGAACGAGAATCGTGATCAGTTTCTTTTTGTGCTAACAGAACCTATTACTTTGTGGGCAGAATTTTCTTTCAGCCTCTGTCTCTCCATCAGTTCAAGTGTCCTGCAGCACCACGGCAGAGCTGTCAATAAAATGAAATAAAGCACTTTAGTACAGTAAAGTGTACCCCAGCCCAATGGCCGTAATAGGGGCAGGGGTTGCTGGTTTTCCCTGAAATGACTTTTTGCAGGGTGGGGTGTCTGTATCATTGTATTGAAAGTACAGAAGCCTTCCAAGCTTAACAGAGTCAAACATACTTGAAAACTAATTCTCAGCTGGAATGTACATTATCTTATTTTTCTAATCTTTTAAATGTTAGAAATGACCAAATTCACATATCTTTGTAAATATCCATGTTTGCTTATTGTTATTCTTCCCAGTTTGAGTTCTCATCAGCACAGAATGTGAGCACAGCATGCTTCAGTGGCAACTCTCAAGTCTCACATTCTTCAAGATCAAAATCAATCTGCTGTTTTGACTGTAAGCACAATGATAATGCAACTTTAAAGTTAAGTGTAATGACTTATCTAACTGACACAAATTAAAGTCTCTGCTCATAGCAGACATTTTGACTTGTCATAGCAGGAAAAGTGCAGCTATTTCTAATAACTTTAATCATGGCTCTGTTCCATGAAAGTATCTCAGCTAGAGCCGTAACAATGAACCAAGTAAAACCAAGCAGAATGTAACTATTAAAGATACATGCATACCTAAATATCTACAATACAAATACTTGCTTTCTGGTCTGTCAAGTATACAGTAAATGATTATTGTAGTGAATGTTTCGATCACATTCATGTTCATCATAATTGCTTTGCTTTTGTCCTACCCTAAACCTATGCATAATACTCCTGACATTGCTGCACAGCAGCTTCACACTGCTTCTACATAGCTACATTTACTGATAATTATCAAATCAAAATATACTGAAAATTACATTTATATTCAGTCTTATTTGCATAATGTAAATCTACAGGTCAGCAGAACAGACAATCTAGCAATGAAGAAATAAAACAAACATTTATTTACAGCAGAGGGAGCTAATCTGTCTAGGTGTGGTGGGTGTGGCAGTCAGGGCTGGGCAGTGAGGGAGGTCAGGGCGCAGGGCAGAGCTGGATGGGAAACCTGAGGCAACTGTTGACTGGATGGGGCTACAATTTCTATAACAGTCTAGAAGATAACAGGGCAAGAAAAATATGGATTGGAGCCAAGTATCTCAACTCCCACCTTAGAGCAAAACTTAGAAGTTATTTAAGAAGCATTTTACTTTCACTTTCAAAGGGGAGAAATCCTGCTCCAAGTGTGACATAAAGCAGACATTATGGGGATGTGTTACAGTTGAGGTTTATAATTTTAGACTTTGGGAAAATTAAATTGCCTAAATAAATAAATATAATCAGTGCACAAACTAGCAGTTTGCATAAATGCAGCTTGCCTTTCATTGATTCTTCCATAGTGAGAGAATCTGCTGTAAGTGCAATCTGCTGTAAGTGCAATCAAAATTGAAATTGTTATGGCTGAAACTTCAGGAGCTGCCCAGCAGTATGTAAAGTCATTCGAATTAATTCGAACTCATTTTGTGTAAGTTCAAACATTGTTCAAATGTGGGTTTTGTAAAAAGTGACAGCCCTACTGTACATGGTGACACCAGTTGGTTCTTTTCATCTACAGCCTGGAAGGATGTATTTGTCCATCTACTCAGGCATCTGAACACCCATTAAAAGTATCTATGCAGTGACAAGGGTGTGATCTCTTGGTGGCTTCCCACCTGCTGGAACACTGCCAGCTGATTGCCAGTCACCACTGACATAATCACAGGTTGTCATTTTTGTTGGTTGCCAAGCTTCAGTATTACCTAATACAGGCCTGCCAAAGGGTGAATGTTAGGTTAGAGTAAAGAATAGAGGTATGGATAGTATGATGAACAACAAATTATATCCCTCAATTGTGTAATGTTTTGGTTTAGTTTCTACCTGTGTGTATTTATTAATCTAAATGAACCAAAGCCAGCCAATCTCAGTGCACAGTCAGCGACACAAAGAGAGCAGTGGGCCACGTCAGCCCCAGTCATGTGGCCAGCACAAGCAACACTGTGAGGTACGAGTGAAACGGCAGTGCTCATCTATACGATATTGTGTTAGCTGATGAACTTTGTAAATACAGGTGAAATCATTCTCTATGATCTAAATCAATGTTTAAAGGTGCTTTTATCAATATTTTCTAATTAACGATAGATAAAATTCTAACACTCTTCATACTGGACTATATGAAAGGTGTCACTCACACTGACAAACCCATAGGGAATAATCACCCAACTGTCTATGGAGAGTGTAGTTTGTGTCATCACCAATCCAGTCATGCAATGCACATAGAGCTTCATGCAATGTGAGGTTCCACCTCCTCTACATCCATAGCAGCCTCATGCGCTTACATTAGCTTTCATCTAATGCTCAGCTCACTTTGAAACTCTAATCCTTCCACCCTCTGTTTCCACTTTCCTCAGTCTCCCTGCTCCTTTTGGTATTTAGCCCCTCTACTCTCCCTCCATGTTCCTCTTTCCTCCCATTCCTCCTTCCACGTTCCTGCACATTTTTCTCTTTCCCAAAAAAAAATGGCACCCCTCCACAACCCCCAGGTTTAATGAAGTCTGCTCTTGTGTAATCTTCCTGCGATCAGGCCCTCTCACCTCCCCTTCTCTGACTCAGGTGTGTCCTCCAACAGAGAGCCATTGTTCTCTCAATCCTCCGATGAAGCCTGCCTGGCACAAGCACACACCTGCAACCAACAATAATACCTTTATTCACTATACACACACATGCATGAAGACGCACACACATGAACTCTCGCATATAATGCCGACATGCAAAGGAACGAGCTCTGCAGCAGCATCGGAATACAGAGCATTTGAAATCACTTTTCATTATCCTTGTTAGAGGAACAAAAAAAGAACAGTGGCTGTGTGAGGCAGGAAAAGGTGGAGGAAACCGTACAGATAACATGACCAAGGTGTTTGCACAAGCTGGTGTCATATGTAATTACATGGGACAGGATCAGCTGAGTAGGTGCGCAGAAGAAGAATGAGGGAGGAGCAGCAGTGCACTCTGGTACTCTGGAGCTTGTACATTACTAGCAACGCATAGTTAATGTTTAGTACATTTCAACTGACAGAGACAACTTTGTTTGCATTCACTGGCTCTCAGGCACTATGTCTCAGAAACCAAAGTTGATCTGTGCTGCATAAAACAAGAACTGGGGATTTGTATTACAGTTTATGTTTGGGGAAATGGCCAACTAATCCTCTTTTTCCTTTGTCGACCACTGAAACCTGAAGTCACTTCATACCTTACGGCAGAATAGGGGAAGGAAAAAGGGAAGGGGAAAACAAAAAAGAGGGGGGTAAGGCCAACGCAGAAAAGATAAGATGAGAGAAACGGAAAAATAAGAGAAAGGAGCGCAAGGAAGGGGCTCTGTGTCTTGTAGCTAAAATGCAACAATAGCATCACCTGTAAACAGGTGCAGGCCTGCAGGCAGGCTTTTAAAGATCTCAGATAGCAGCATATGTGTGTATGTGTGTGTGCATATGTGAGAGAATGATGATTTAGACAAGGCAAGAAAAATTGTCCCACAGTGCTGTTGTCATGTGTACACAGTGTGTGGCACAGTGTAACTACAGTACACAGGAGTGTTAGCAATTTCTGCATGAGGGAACAACTGGGGTTAAATTAGGTTCCTTGTAATGCTTTAAACCAAAAGAAGTTCACAACCTCAGCTTTCCAGTTCTTTGCCTGAACTCCAATTTGCGGTGAGAACACTGTAAAGTTGTGAAGTATTTTGAGAATAATCTAACTGGGTTATATGCTTCTCTGACTTTGGAACATGGGGAAAAGGGGTGGGATATGAGTGAAAAGGAGGGGTAAGGGTGTGGGGTTGGGGGGCTGGGGGGTACAGGAGTCCTTTTGTAATTTTACATGTGACAGGAGCGAAGCGAGGGATGGAAATAGAACAATGGAAGAAATGCTGAGCTTCTGTGGAGGCCTTCAAAGACTTTCAACTCAGAGGCTGATAAAAGCCCTTCTACTTCATATCTCAGCACCCCCTCTTCTTTCTCTCAGACATACACACACACACACACACACACACACACACACACAGCTCTCTGAAGAGAATCTCTTCAAGCTGTGTGCGTGTGCAGCTGAGCGACAGATCGCCAGGGTGTGACAACGAAGATGGCTTCAAGCTGAGGAGACGTCTTGAAACAGAGTCACGGCAGTGTCACATCCTGATCGTGGCATGATAAAAGTCGAGTAAACATGGTAAACATGCCAGGAAATTTTGGTCAAAACTCTAAAAGTGAGCAATACAAAGGAGGATGCCAGCATCTGAAAAGTGAAACAGACTATCCACACTTGGGTTGACAGTGGACTAGCTGTACACTGTCTTCGGAGGCACAGTTTGTGGGTGAACAGGAGGATGGCTCTTTCAGAATGTAAGGAACAGTGAAGTAAAACAACAACAAAAAAAAGCTGTAATTTGTGCAGAAGCATAAACTGCTAGGTTTTAAAATAAGACTTTTTTATAAACATTGAAATGTAAAAAAAAAAAAACAGAAAAAAACATTTTTTTTTTTCAAAAATATACAATTTGTTCTATTACTCTACTTTCGGCTGTTCCTGTTAGGGGTCGCCACAAAGAATTTGATTTGCATGAGTAAATTTGGCATGTTTTTTACACCGGATGCCCTTCCTGACACAACCCTCTCTATTTAACCACACTTGGGACGGCACAGACGCCACTGGCGTAAAACCCCTGTGACTAGATACACACTCACTCCTGGGGGCAATTTAGAGTCTCCAATCAACCTAAGCTGCATGTCTGTGGGAGGAAGCCAGAGCACCCTGAGAGAACCCACGCAGGCACAGGGAGAACATGCAAACTCCAGAAATATATGATTTGTTCTAAAAAGTAAAAATTCTACTTGCAAAACAAAATCAAGAAAGATATATTTTTTACACAACGCAAGGGTTATGTGATGACAACAGCTAGAAACAGGCACTGGTTGTTATGGCCTAGGGCCCAGAACACCAGTTGGACACAAAGGCAGGACTCAGATGTCAGACTAGCCAGGAGGTTTATTTTAACACTGACTCTGACCAGCAGAACAAAGCAGAGAGGATGAGGTAAGTAGGCTGGAGTCAATGGGTACTGATGTATTGGGAGACAGTCAATGAGGGCTTAGGAGTGGAGAGTAGGGGACAGGCAAGTGGTGGCTGGTGCAGTTGGAGCTGTGGCTTGTGGTGCCGGAGAAAAACTGGGTTGGTGCAGTAGTGATGCTGAGTAGTAGGCAAGAGGAGTAGACACAGGACTGGAGGCAGATTCATTCAGCAATGCAGAGTAGCAGACGAGAGGAATATTCAGGCAGACAAGCAGGGAACACAGGAACGAGGAAACTGCTGAGAGCTGGAGCGAGACAAAAACTTGCAGGAAACACAGGAACAAACAGGTAAGCAACCTTTCTGAAAGCTCTCAAGCAGAGAGTGGCCAGTAAGCTACGGTTTGAGCAAGGAGGAGGCAGCTGAGCACAGGCTAAATGCCCGTGACACAATTAGCAAATGGGCTCCAGCTGTGCTCACTCCCTGCCAAGCACACCTAGTAACTCGACCAAATCCCAATGAGGTACAGGTTAGTGACCTAACACTGGTCTGGTGTTAAAATAGTGGTTTGGTGAGTAAGGGTATGGTGAGAGGTAGTGTACACACCTGTCACTCAATCTTACTTAATGGACCATTACCTTCACCACATCTTAAACATTAGCAACTCAGTTCAAGTAGCATTCAACTAATAATGGGTTGTCCAGTTTGACAGCATTCTGTCATCATTTTCTCTGTTACCAGTATGTTTTTGCAATTCAAATGTTAATTTAATTAAAATTATGGTGTAAGGGAGCACTTTTATACATATACACTTGTATATATACAGTGGGTATGGAAAGTATTCAGACCCCCTTAAATTTTTCACTCTTTGTTATATTGCAGCCATATGCTAAAATCATTTAAGTTCATTTTTTTCCTCATTAATGTACACACAGCACCCCATATTGACAGAAAAACACAGAATTTTTGACATTTTTGCAGATTTATTAGAGTTTGCTAAAAAACACCTGAAGGACTCCAAGATGGTGAGAAATAAGATTCTCTGGTCTGATGAGACCAAGATGGAACTTTTTGGCCTTAATTCTAAGCGGTATGTGTGGAGAAAACCAGGCACTGCTCATCACCTGTCCAATACAGTCCCAACAGTGAAGCATGGTGGTGGCAGCATCATGCTATGGGGGTGTTTTTCAGCTGCAGGGACAGGACGACTGGTTGCAATCGAGGGAAGGATGAATGCGGCCAAGTACAGGGATATCCTGGACGAAAACCTTCTCCAGAGGGCTCAGGACCTCAGACTGGGCCGAAGGTTCACCTTCCAAAAAGACAATGACCCTAAGCACACAGCTAAAATAACGAAGGAGTGGCTTCACAACAACTCCGTGACTGTTCTTGAATGGCCCAGCCAGAGCCCTGACTTAAACCCAATTGAGCATCTCTGGAGAGACCTGAAAATGGCTGTCCACCAACATTTACCATCCAACCTGACAGAACTGGAGAGGATCTGCAAGGAGGAATAGCAGAGGATCCCCAAATGCAGGTGTGAAAAACTTGTTGCATCATTCCCAAAAAGACTCATGGCTGTATTAGCTCAAAAGGGTGCTTCTACTAAATACTGAGCAAAGGGTCTGAATACTTATGACCATGTGATATTTCAGTTTTTCTTTTTTAATAAATCTGCAAAAATGTCAAATTCTGTGTTTTTCTGTCAATATGGGGTGCTGTGTGTACATTAATGAGGAAAAAAATGAACTTAAATGATTTTAGCATATGGCTGCAATATAACAAAGAGTGAAAAATTTAAGGGGTCTGAATACTTTCCGTACCCACTGTATATATGGAGAGAGAGAGAGATAGCGGTAGCATATCCATGTACCATGGATAAGACAGGTCCTGAAAACCCAGCTCAGTGGGAGGGACGAGATCCAAGACATCAATACATACACCCTGCCAGTCATCAGATACCTTGCCGACGTACAGCATAGTGAGCTGGCCAAAGGAGGACATGGAGGTTTACCAGTGGAAACAGCTCATGGTGGATAGAGGTTCCCACCTGAAGCCTAACACCCAGAGACTGTACACCAGCTGGAAAGAGGGTGGATGGGGCCTGGTGAGTGTCAAGGCCACTATCCTGAATGAAACCCAGAGCATCCAGGAGTACATCAGCAAGATGGCACCCAGAGACAAGCTGCTGAAAGAATGTCTGAGACAGCAACGGACTATGACCAAAGACCAACCAGAGGAATTGCCATGGGATGATAAGGCCCTCCATGGGATGAACCACCCACAGATAATCAAGGTGGCTGACACTTTGAAATCCTACCAGTGGCTTGGAAAAGGCTGGCCTTTCGGACAGTACTGAGGCACTGATCAAAGCAGCACAGGAACAGGCACTAAGTACCAGATCAATTGAAGCAGGGGTCTACCATACCAGACAGGATCCCAGGTGCAGACTGTGCAAAGAGGCATCAGTGACAGTTCAACACATAGTGGCAGATGGGAGATTCCTCAGAAGGTTGTAGAGAACAACAGTACTAAGATCCTGTGGGACTTCTAGATCCAGACAGAAAGGAATGTACTGGCCAACCAACCAGACATGGTGGTGGTAGACAAGGCACAGAAGGAGGTAGTGGTGATAGACATAGCAGATCCAAGTGACAGCAACATCAAGAAAAAGGAGTATGAGAAGCTGAAAGGGGAACTGGAGAAGATGTGGAAGGTGAAGGCCAAAGTGGTCCCAGTGGTGGTAGGAGCACTTGGAGTGGTGACTCTTAAACTGGAATAGTGGTTCCCACAGATCTCAGGAACAACATCAGAGCTCTGTCCAGAAGAGTGCCATGCTAAATACAGCTAAGATACTATGCAGAACCCTCAAACTCGCAGGCCTCTGGTAGAGGACCTCAGGTTGAAGAAGGCACACACACTGCCCCGTTGTGGTGAGAAGGTCAAAGTGTTTATTTGTCATATGCACAGTTAGGAAACATGTTTCCCTGTGCCACACAAGACAAGTGAAATATAAGGTAGATGAGCAATAACAAATCTAAATAGGCAGTAAAATTACAAATCTAAGGCACTTCAAAGCAGCAAGTGAAGGAAACAAATAAAAATACAAGAAGAACACAATATAATGCAGAGATAATATATGCTACTCGGGAGCCGTGGAGTGCAAATACTCAGCAGTGAGTGTGCAATTATGCATGTGCAAACTGAGTATGTAAACAGTACACATGAAATTACATGAGGTAAATCCTGAGTCAGCTGTTTAGGAGTCTGAGAGCAGTTGGAAAGAAAGAGTTTCTGCATTTCACACTTTTGAGCCTCTGACCGGAGGGTAGGGGTATGAACAGTCCGTGCTGGGGGTGGGTGGGGTCCTTGAGGATGGAGGCGGCTTTCCTACGCACCCTGCGGTGGTAAATGCTCTGCAGAGAGGGCAGTGGAGGCCTGGTGATCTTCTCCACAGTCTTTACCACTCTCTGCAGGCTCTTGCGGTCCATAGCAATAGTGCTGCCATACCAGACAGTGATGCTGCTGGTCAAGATGCTCTCAGTGATGCAGCTGTAGAAGTTGCAAAGGATCCTAGGCGACATGCCAAACCTCCTCAGCCTCCTCAGGAAGTACAGCTG